ATCCCCGCCCCAGCCCCGCGCTGCCAGCTCTGCCTCAGAAGCAGGTCCCACAGCAGCCGGGCCCGCAAATCCCTGCCCCCCAGCCCGGTCGGGGTCCCGCAGCAGAGCGCCCAGGGCAAGGGTGCTACCTGCACACGGAGGCCAGCTCCCAAAGCTGCCACTCAGGCCTGCGCCAGCCTTCCTGGGACGCGGGCCAAGGGGTCTGGGCCCTGCGCGTGAACTCTGGCCGCTTGGCCCAGCTCCTGTTTTCTTCTTGCTGACATCTTGTGACTTTTTATGGCCCTGGTGGGAATGGGAAGGAGCCTGCAGGAAGCTGGTGAGGCCGGGGAAACCTGCCTGAGCGGCGGGCGTGGGAGCTCCTGTCTCCGTGGCCTTCCCTCGGCCACCTTGGATAAAGGAGTCACAGCAGCTGTGTGTTCCCCTGCGTTGGCCTGTCCTCCCTGCAACACCTCCGGCTTATTGGTGCGCTCAGGTGAACGTCCCAGATCTGAGAAAGAGGCATAAAATCCCAATGAAACCATGTGCCCAGGCAGGACACGGCTCTCTTTAAACTGGGGTGGGTTGTGGGCATGGGGATGTTTAGGGTTGTTCCAGACATCGTCCTGGGGGTGGATAGTCAGGGGAGGAAGTAATAAAAGCTGGTCCTGTAGGGTGGTACAGATTTAGATTGGGACCAAAACGGGGTTTCTGAGAGGAGCTTGTGGCTCCATGAAGTATGTAGCAGATGAGAGATGGGTTGGAATGGGCAGCTGGATGGGGCACAGAAAAAGACGGTAAGTGGGACCCAAGATCTAAGCCTGGGACCAAATGGAGTCACAGAGGTGGCATGACCCAGGCCTTGAAGCTGCGTCAAACCTAGATCAGTCCAGGATAAAAACAGACCCTCATCTGGCTTGGCTCTACTGGCTGCTTTCCACGTCATTCTAACACAGGACTACTCCCTGGTAGCACATTTCACTAGTTCCTACAGCAATTTAGTTACAAGCTTGTTACATTTATGAAAAGCATTGTTAGGTTGCAGTTGCTTGTCATAATAAGGGAGTCTTTCTGATGACCCTGGAGGTGGGACCTATGGGTTTTGGGATTCACTTACTTCATCCATGCAGGGGGACTTCTTTACTCTCTTTGGGAAGCTCTCTCCCAACCAAATAGATTTAATTGAAAGGAGGCAGTTGTTTGTGATGATCAGGCCTTTCCTAACTTGATGCTATTGCTCACAGTCAAACCCTTCTGCACTGTCCTAATATTTTTGCTCCTTCTTGGAACTCGCTCATTTCAAAGATCCAGAGACTAGAGGGGAGGGCACATGGCAAAAAGTTTTCATTGCATGGTGATCTGGAAAACTTTTTAAACTAATGCAATACATTTGCATTCCTGGTACCCTTGTGTTCACTTTCCACAGGAGGTCTAGCAAGGCAACATTTATGAAATGTTAAAAAAATACCATAGTGGAAATTGATTTTGAATTAATGGATATTCATCCCAGAAATTTTATTCAAAGAGTGACAGTCATTCAGTCAGGGAACAGGTCACGAGATAAGTTTCTGTGTGTTGATCAAAACAGTGCAAGCTATGTAGCCAGTGTCAAACCCGTGTGCGTGAAAGCACAGCATATCACAAGCCACTTGCAGAAATTATCAGTGAATATGAGGACCTGGTCACAGAAACTGATAAAAAAAACAAAACTGAAAAAAAATTGGGACCTGTTTACTGGCAGCTTCTAAACAGAAAAAAAGAGGTGAATAATCTCTCTTTACAGTCCACCCTTTCAGCCTCTTTAGTCTTTTTCATTCTTGTAGCTCTTTAGTGAACTCCTCTTTCTAACATGGACCCCAGAGAGGAACTCAGTGATACAGGTACAGTCGTGTCAGCGCTATATAGAGAGGGAGCATTGCTCCCTATGGCTCGAGGTGAGTTTGCAGCTTATGCAACACCCAATTCCCAAATCTTGAGGCCAGCAGGGATCCCAGTGGTTGTCATGTCTGACTTCTAGTGTAAAGTAGGCCATAGAACCACTCTTAGTAACTTCTATATCATACCCAGAACTTCTGCTTGAGCTCTCTGTTAGGGAAAAATTTGGCTTTCATTTTTATACATTAGAATTCCCTTGTGTGCCCAGCTAAGTTGTTCTCTAGTGGCTAATTAACATGGCTACTAAAAGAGCTGAATTCCTCTCTCTAGTTTCCAAACATTGGGTTTTGTAAGATCTTTTTATGGTAGGTGCCAGATCCCACTTACCCTGAGAATTAGCTAGGCCATTTTTGCTGAAACATTGTATTGTGTTGTATAATTGTTATCCGTGAACTTCCCTAAGATTTGTGATGGTTTTTTAGGTCCTTGGATGCTGAGTGTAAGTTAGAATAGATTCAGTGCTGCTCTAAGTGACCATGGGGCATGGATTCAGGGCATCAGCATGACATTAATTGACTATGGTCCCTTTGTCTCTGTACAGAGTATACCTTGGTAGGAAGGGACAGTTACACTCTCCAAGGATTATGAGCCTATGGAAGCTAGATTGAGTGTGGGGAAGAGGGTATATTGAAGCGGCCTTGTGGGAGGAGGTCTGTGACTTGGTTGTAGTGTACCCAACACCCACAGAATGGTTCATGAACAGAAGAAAGTTGCTCAGTAACTGTGTTCTGCCTTCTGGATGTGCAACACTTATCCTGCTTCACTGAGAAGCACAGAGTGCTCTCTGTGATAACCTTTCTGAACTGGCCTCCTTGATTTACAGCTCTGCTGCTTGTGCAGTTCAATTAGTCATTCAGTAAAAAATAAAAACACTGCCCCTACCACTAAATTCTTCCTTGGCTCGGAATACCATCTCAACAAATATAGCCTCAGTTATTGCAGGAGACCTATGAGCTTGATTAGTCAGGGAGCAGTGGTTTGGAGCAGTGGTTTGGAGCTCAGTTGGATCGTGCGAGGAGGGTGACAGTGCTGGAGAGTGTATAAGAACTGAATGGGATCAAGGATGGAGGGTCTGTGGGAGTGGATCAGAGCCGCATGGACCATGGGAGGGTGGTTTTTCTTCTGGCACTGGAAGACATTTAGGACCTTGGTTCAGGAGGAAGTTATTCGTAGAGGGTGTTTTAGAGCAGGTAGGGATCAGATGAAGAACATCTGTAGAAGTGCCTGGGGAGTATATGCAAAATAGGTTGTGTTACAGGAAGGGATGTCTGCAATCAGGCTGTCAGAGGATATGCTGGAGCTGGCTTTGGAGCAGGTGGCCATAAACTAACCCCCTGAAGATGTGTCCCAGACAGAACAGGCCAGGAAGAAGTGCCTGGTGGCCAGGAAGAAGTGCCTGGTGACCAGGAGCTAGGCCCACAGGGACTAAACGGCCACTTTGATGTCAATATTCAATATTTAGGGACCACTGCAATCCTCCAAAGCCCAGCTCAGCTGCTGCCTAACTACACAGGCTTCTAAGTCTGCTGGTACTGAAGTTTCTGCCACTGAGCATGCCTCCAGATACATGGGACCTGGCATGTACTTAACCCTTAATGGGGACCTCAAACTTGATGTGCCCCTGCCTATCCCTCCAGTGCATTTTCAGTCTGCCTGTCAGATTGGGCCTCACACAAGATATAACCAGAGGAGCAACACTGTTTGCCTTCCAGGAATTGCCTTCCATTTTAACCCAATACCCTTGTGATTTGAGAGCTCCTCTGGGATGCGAGAGAAGCAGATCCAAGTCCCTGTTTCAGTGAATATTTTATTACTTGTACTAAGTTGGGAAGTTGCAGGAGAAAGTCTCATCCCAAAGTCTTCCTGGAGGAGAGGCCTGGGTTCAAAATTCTGCTTCAAGTCAGAGCAGGGATTCACAAACTGATCTCTGACCTTTAGGCAACTGCCCTACTTGTAGGGTTACAGGGTGCAATGGGGTGGCTGGGTCTCTTTTTGTAGGCCAAGAGAGAAGACCTCAAGGGTAGAAGAAAATCATTTTCACCAACTGTTCTGCCATGCCTGGATGGTATTAACCAGAGAGAGATTAACAGCATAGTCGCTGAGGGGATGCGTGAGTCCTGGTTTAGCTTGGAGAGGGAAGCTGCTCTGTCCTGAGAACCAGGGGATTCTGATCACAACTGGTTCCTTTCAGGGCTGATATTTTTCTAAGTCTCAAGCACTGATAAGGTCACCTGAGGTTTACAGGGTGACCCCATGACACACCACCTGACCCTGGATTACAGACAAACATTGTCATCGTGCACAACCTCCACGAGATGGCAGTGTGCCCAAGGGTGGCAGCAGCTTCTGTTGCACTTTCCCTTGGTCAACTGAAGTTACTTAATGCAATTTAACTCCTGGCAAGTTAAAATATTTAGATACGCCTCACTAGTGGAGGGGGAAGGACCCTGCTTCTTCAGTGCTGAAGTATTTTAAACATTGGGAACACCACAAAATATTAAGATAGAGCTGTAAAAACACATGGGGAAAAAGCGAAGAGCCTGGAAATGCACAGTTGCAATTGCTCAAACAGCCTGAATGCTTATGGCAGGTCTGTGCTACAGAGTTTGGCCAACTGAGCTCTGGCTGTCAGGGGCACAAAGAGGCATGATCTCTGGCTGAGAGAGCTATACCAACGCAAGCCCCTCGCATGGAGGAGTTATAATGGCAGTACTGCACTTTTGCTGGTCTAAGTAGTTTTAGCTGAGAGGCGAGGCTTTAAGGGTGTTAGTGCAAAGCACAATTTTGCCAATGTAGCTGTGTCTGCTTTGGGAGTGCTTGGCTGGCCTAGTGTATCAGTACAACTGTTCTTGCAAGGTGCTCAGTACAAAATGCTTCTCCCGTAGACCTGGCTTCAGGCCTTCATGGAGTTTTACTGCTCTAATAGCACAGAAGTAGGTTTCCCAGGTTACAGTGTGGATGCTCTTATGCTAGAAGAACCACTCTAATACCCCGCTGTTCCAGGGGGCTTTTATCAGTAAATATCTGAGCACTTTTTGAAAGGAGGTCACTGTTGTTGCTTCTGTTTTTCAGATCAAAACACCAAGACACAGAGAGAGGAAGTGACTTGTATAAGGCCACCCAGCGGGTGTGTGGCAGAGCTGGGAATATACCCCTGTTCTCCTGAGTCCTGGTCCATTTGCACTAGTATGAAAATGCTTATCCTGGTCCAGCTTATTCCTGAGCATGAAAAGGAATAGCTGAACTGGTGTACGCCCATCTTTACTTTGGCAAGGCTGTCTGTGCGCTTGTAACAATGTAACTGCTTTCACAGAAAAATCATATCCCAGGCCTGAACATTTATACCTGTATAGTTTACAAGCTGAGACCAGGCCTCCTAGCTTCAGGTAGTGCTTAGAGAAAATTAAACAAGCAGAGATCATAATAATTTAAAAAAACAAAAAGTCCCAAGCATAATGTATGCACATGCACGTATAGCCATGTATATATATATGCAAGTGTGTGTATATGTTGTTGAGATGATATTAACGCTATATCTCTATATACAGAAATTCCTTCTGTTGTATGATGTGTGTGTCCTGGCTGCTTTGTGCCCTGTTTATATGGTAAGGTCTTCAGAACAAGGGTAGTCTTTCACTGTGTTTCTACAGTGTGTTGAGTACCAATCTTGATGGGGCCTTTGAGGACTACTGGCATATAAATAATCATCATAATTGTTAGTGGCATATAATAATAATAATTGTTATTATATGCCTCACCCATAGCCACTGTGTTGTCGCCGGTGCCCTCCAACACGCACACATCCCCTGTAAGACACATTTGTATTCACCTTAAGGAGTCCAGTCTTGAGAGCTGGGGTGGGGGAGGAAAGGGTGTAAACTTTCAGACAGGTACTTTTTTTGTTTTCCCTCCCCTCAGATGTGTTTGGGTGAGAGGTGTGGTAGCATCAGGATTCAGCAAAGGGCTGTTAGGGGTACTGGAGAGGACATTAAAAAATGATAGGAGAATGGGTGTGGGTTGGAGACCGCCCCATTGAGAGGTTACAGTTCTGTTTGTAACCCTGGTAAAGCTGTACATCTTAAGGCAGCTTACAAAAAGGAGACAGGCGGTAGATGAGTGGCTCAAAGGAAAGGACCCAGCTACCAGTTGTGAGCTCTAGAAGACTTTCCTCAAGGCACAGGTGATGCAGAAACATATATCACCATATGATGAGGTATCAGAGAAGCCAGAACTACCAAGCGCTCTGCCTGGTAGCTAAGGTCAGCATTGCTGTCAAAATCCTTGCCTTTGGGTGCTTTTGAGGCCTCTTGACATCATCTTCTTTGCTCCCTCTGTATTGTCTAGAGCAGGAGTTCCCAAAGTTTTTATGGCACGGGGGAACCCTGTGCTGCCACGGGCCCTGTGAAAGGAGCTGTGGCCTCTCCGCCTGGCTCTGGGGGCCCGTGGTTTGCCGGTCCGTGGCCACATGCGGTCCAGCAGCTGACTGTCCTGCGGACTGGCAGCCGACCCGCCATGGCCCATGGATTGAGAACCCCTTGTCTAGAGGATTTCGCTTATGAAGATGAGACATACTTGGAGACTCCCCTTTGCGCCACCATCCCTTCCCCTCTCTGCACAGCAAGCACATTTGCTTGCTTCCATTTCTCTCCTCCTTTCTGGTCACTGGGAAGGAGGGCAAGCCCTCTGGACATGCTGGAGCAATGAAATTGGCTTATCTAGGAACAGCAAGGCCAGACAAGCCAATTATTTCATCATGGTGTATATTGTGCTCAGTCACAAGGGCAGGTTAGGGCCATAAAAGGCAGCCTGAGACTGATTACACATGAGAAAAACATGACCATTGAATTGTCTGGTGAATGTTTTCAAAGCTGAGGAAATGTAGTTCTGTTTTCATCTACCTGTAAAGCTTCATGCACCTCAGTGATGCTGCTATCATCTTGATCATGATGACAGTATCAAGGCATGAAGATCAGTAGTGAGAAGCAATAGAGTTACTGTTTGTTTGCCACAGTCACAGCAAAATGGAAACAATGCTTTGCATGAGGATGGTGGACCAGGGATACAGTAACACTTGGCCTTTGTCAGATGCTTGTCATGCTCAGCACAACTAACAAATAAAAAAGCAAAATATATTTGTAAGATATTTTACAAATAAAGGGGGATGCAGGGGAAGAATTCTCAGTCCCTCGATAAATTAAATTGAAGTGTTCTCCAATAGATTGATTTGTGACAGGGGAACCAAATGAATGAATGAAAAGCAAATTCCAAATGAGATTCAGGAGCTGAGGACAGAATCACCAGGGCAATTCACTACAGAAAAAGATTAACGGACCCTTATGGGCTAAAATCAAAAGCCAAGCTTCTCATGCTCAAATGCACCAAATTGTGGCAAGGAGAGTATTTTCACATCTGCACACTGCCATAGGGGGGAGAGATGTTACTGAGGTAGGAGTAATCTTACAGGTGGTGACAGAGCCTGAGCCTAGGACATAAGCTAAGTGTAGTCTTCAGCCAAGAATGTCATAGGATCTTGATGTTGGAAAGGACCTCAAGGGCTCTCTGGTACAGCAGCCCCCTGTATATGTGCAGAATGCACTGTTGCTAAACTACTGGAGACTGATGCCCATCCAGCTTCTTTGTCAAGGAAGGAGCTTCTACAGCTTGCTTGTGCAATTTAAAAATGGATACCTACAGTTAAGATTCACAGTCCCTTGACAGGCCCCCAAATGAAATGGAATGGCAGTGTTGCTAATGGTTGTGATTTTATCACAAATACTGCAATAGCTGGTGTTCGTCCTAAAGCCCAAGGTGATTATGTAAGAATCTCAGCTTTGTTTTAGAAAGGGGGAGAAGAGTAAATTTCTAGCCTTCTTATTTCCAGAGAACAATCTTGACTGTGGAACCTAAGTTTAAAACCTTAAGGCAAACCTTAACAGGTTTTTAAAATCTCATGCTTCTGTGTGGCCCAAGTTATAATTTCTAAAACACTTGGGGAGGCAATAGTGCAACTATTGTTGAAAGTCGCTTATTTGGGGGCCTCAATATGGACTTGTTTCAGGTGCCCATTTTGATAAATCTTGCCTTTTGATTGCAGTTGTTCAAAGTAAATAACGTGTATACAAAAGAGGTAGCAAAAGAAAACTATTGAGGCATTCAATAGCCTGGAACACTAAAAGGCCTCCATCAGAAATTCTCAACCAGCGTGCTATGGCATCCTGGAGTGCCATGCTGTTAAGGGTCCTGTGCAATATTAGTACTGTTAGGTGTACAACCACCTACTCACAATTTGCAAGATAAAGTCAGAGATTTCAAATAGGAATCTGTAGTGAGAAAAACATTCTGACCTATTGTGGTCTTTCTGAGATCTTTTCAAAAGAAGAATTGCTCCAGTGCTTTGCCATTGTCAAAACATGAGTGAAAGCTAAGAACTGGCATTTTCCAAGGGGTGTTTTGAGGCCAAAAAGGTTGAAACCCACTGGCTTAAACTGTCCTATATCATAGTGATGTCTGCCAAAGTTTTGCTACCAAAATGCACCCACCAGGTCAAATCTGATGAGCTCTGAGAAAATAGTGGACTAATTTTAGCATTTTGTTTAAATGCAGGTTTTTTCTTCAAGTGCTCACACCAAATGACAGGATTAGTGATAAGATCACTGTAACACAACAAAATATGGTACATATGGATGAAGACCCAAAAAGACTGGACTAAAATCATCAAAGCCAACAACTATGACCTTCTGTGAAGAGCCTGCCTACTTTTTAATTCAGCATATATACAGCACCAGACATTGACACAGCAAACACGGGTAACACACTCCTGAACTTGAAGAGCTCGGGATCCAGTCAAGTCAAGACAGATGCAGATAACAGGACCTAAAAGAAGAGCTCAGGAGGCCGGGTGAAGGAATCTTGGATGGAGAAAGGATTGTTACAGGTGTAATAATGCTCAGCATTTGTATAGCACTTTCAAACTGCTGCCTGGACATTTACTAATTGTCTTCACTGCAATAATCTCTGTGAAGTAGGTAAGTAAATATTATTTCCCTCATTTTACAGATGTCTTTGAGGCAGAAAGCCAAAGTGACTACCTGAGGCCAGGGAGCGGAGGGGAATGGGCTCATCTCCCACAGATCACAGGGCTTCAAGTATATTTCTGATCACAGCCCTCAATATTTAGCCATGCAGTGCAAACCCCAAGAGTGGACAGGTACAGGTGGACTTTACCCCAGTGAGGTAGGCCCCTGACTAGAACATAAGTGAGCTGCGGCCATGCAAATCCCAGCTCATAACTATTTACCATAGGGGCTTGGCTAGGGAGCTAATCACAAGTGCACACACAGCCTAATCCTATTGGGGCTGGTGGCAGGGTGCTTGCAGTGAAAGGCTCTAGAACCTGGGGTTCATTTCTCCCATTAGTTCAATAGAAGCTGTTCTGGCCTCTGTGGCTGTCCGTGGTGCCCATCAGTTTCTTTGCTTCTAGTAGATGCAGTTGGGTATGGTATCCACTCCAGCAAGTCTGAAAATCATCTCTGGGGTATCTCATGATGGACCCCTTACAGTCCACAGCCACGTCTGGAAATCTCACATGCCGTGCGCAGTGGTAGCATGGTTACAGTGGGCAACTGGAAGTCAAAGCTCCTGGATACAGCTTTCGGACGCTGCTTGGCTGTGCAGCATGTGGCAAAGCATGAGCAGAAGAATTTCCAAGGGGGTCCAGTTGGGTGGTCTGCAGAGGCTTGGCTATCCAGCTGTGCATGCTCAGGAGCAAAGGGGATTTTCAAAGCAAAAGACAGGAAAAGCAAGACCTGCTCATCACTCAGCCCTTGTAGTGTGTTAGAAGTGGGTTGGGGAGCACCAGTTAGTTTTGAGATCACTTGCTGATTTGCATTGCAAAACCCTGGTGTCAACTGCTTATACATTTACAAGCTGTAACAAGAGTGATCAGCATCTCAAACATTATCGCAAGATATGAGCACAAGGTGAGCAAATTTCAGGCGGTATGGAGAACTCCAGTGCTGGTATTTGCCTCACTTCTGAGCACCTAGCTTTTCACTTTTAATAATAATCTTTGGATCTTGCAATTTGGTGTATAACTGAAGGTAGAGGAGGAAAGGACAGAGCAGTGAAGCTGGTTGCTGAAAATTGTCATGAAGCTGGATAGACACAAGGAAGAAGACTGAGCTCTAATCCTCATTTGTATCCAAGATTAATGGGTTTTTGTAAACTGAGGTCTCTGTGACTGCCCTGGAAGAGTTGGTCAAACTGGAGAGGGCTGTTAGGGGAAGGCATTTATACTCCACTGTCCTATAAAGCAATTTGCAAATTGAACCTTTGTCTGGGCTCCTCTGCTTGGCAAGTGATGCAGTGCATGGATTAGCTGAAATAGATACTCCTAGCCTATATTATTCTTATCTGTATGGCTTGTGCCATGCAGGCGGTCAGAATGGATGATCTCAATGGCCCTGGTGCTCCTTGCCACCTGTGAATTGGTAGGCTGGACTGTGTGTTCTCATAGCTTACAGGCTGTGTCCACATGTGGAGATACATGGTTTGGCAGCAGCATTACCACACGTGTGCCTTTCTTACTTTTGGTGTTCTTGGCTTTAGCAAAGCAGAAATTTCCTCAAGCTGGAAGAATGTGGTTTTTGCCATTCACAACAAAGCTAGCAAAGCAGTTCTGTTCACATCCATTCAGGGCATGGGTGCGATATGATCTGCCAGCGCCTGCCTGTTTCATAATGACAGCGTGTTTCCATTGAATGCTGCTCTGTCTTGTGCATGTTTGAAGCTAAGAGTGGTTTAGTGGCTTTGTCATAGCAAGGTTTGTGTCATTGCTTCTCTGCCAATTTTATGTTTGGCTTAGATCTCCTGCTGCAAGCATTGGCTCCACAGAGGGTGATATTGAGCAAAGGGAGCCAGCTGTGGGCAGTTAGGCAGTATCTGTGTTCAGGTAACAAAGCAGACAGAGATCGGAGGACTCTTGCTATTTTTTTGTAGCATTGCTTTTTTCTTCCAGTGTCTCAGCAGGACTGTTGTCTCATTTTCTTCTCCTGTCTGCTATGAGGGAGCAGCCTCATTCATTTTATTTTCTGCATCCTGTCGTACTCACAAACCAGGCTCCCCTCCTTTTGTGGATGGTAAGGAACTTGTATCCTGCCAAGAGGTGGAGCCCCTCTTCACTGCCCCTCTCCATGGGGAAGATCCTCTCTCTCCTCTTCCTTGTCATTCCCTAACAGCAGAAGGGAGAGACTCTCCTCCATTCCTTCTTCCTCACCGATGGCTGCCTTCTTTGCTTTTTCCTGTTTCCCCTCAGCTGTTGTGAGGATATGATTGCTCTTTCTTTTTCCCTCCTCCCCCAGCTAAGCAGAGTGGCTCTTTCCATCCCTTTCCTTCCTCTTCTGCATACTCTGATCGTTTTCCTCCAGGTCAGTCTTCCTCTGTCTGCAGTCGCCTCTGGTGCTCTCTGCTTTCCCACGCCAAAGTAAAACGTACCAGATTCAGTTCTGTGTTGCTGTCTGCTGTGGTCTGAGCACAGTGAAGCAGTCCAGAGCCTGCCAAGTCTCATTGAGGAATGTGATGGGCTGCAGGAGCTGTGTTCCAGAGACGCTCAGTGAGCGTAAGGAGGGATGTAATTCTGCAGTTTCATCACTGCTCAGACTGCTGCAAGCAGCGGTAGGGGAAATGAATCAAGCCTGGCAGCCTTTGCTCTGCCGATGCCTGCACTCACCAAGGAAAAACTCCAATTCATCGCTGGAGAATTCCTTTTTCAAGCCTTGCGTGTGCTGATGTTGGACCGTGGCTGCCCCTCTGCTGAGTCCTTCATCTTTCCTCAGGCCTGTGTTGAAACCTCTTTGTATGAAGACTGTGTCAGAAGGCAGGTAAAGGAAACTCTCTGCTTTCAGCTATAGCATTAGTCACCATGGCTGTTAATTGCCCAATTCTGTGATTTCCTGCCAGCGCCCTGAAGTGAGCACTGGTGACCTAAGGCTTGTAGCCCTATTCTCTGCTCCTCTTGTTTCCCCTTTTGGCCTAAGAAGCTGGAGGAAACAGATTTTTTTAGATATCCGGTTAGCCTCCTCCTGGTATAAATCACAGCAACTTTAAGGCTGTTCTAGTTTATGCTCTGGCTCGAGGTCCTTTGTGGGCTTATCAGACTATCCCCAGCACACACCTATGTTTGGGGACACAAAAGAAAGAAATAGAGCCATCCCAATGGGTCCATCCTGTCCAGGAGAATCCATTTACCTAGATGTGGTCTCTGGCCTAGTTTGTGGTGTGCTTACAGTACTTGGATGGGATAAAGAGGCCACAAACCAATCAGGAATTGAATCGTACATCTTTAAAGGATGGCATAGAATAATTCAGCCTTTATAATCACTCAACTAAACTCTCAAGAGACCCATGCAGACTTACCCTTTTAGGCTTCCTCTGAGTTAAGCCACCTTGTAGGATTATGCCCTTTCAGGGGGAATGCCAGAGTTGACTGTGGGATTGGGTCCCCTCCTACAGAGACTGTGAAAGGTATGTGGCATGGTTTCCCTGGCACACAGCTGGCAGAGCTGATGGCAATGTTGAGCAATGGCAGTCTCGTTGGGCATAACTCAGTTCCTTTTGAAACGTTAGCAGGTTTGAAGTATAAGCTGTATGTATACTTTACAATGGACTGATAAATCACTTCATGCTTAGAACATGAGCTGATTTAGGTGACCATAACTAGTAGGGCAAAAATGACCATTATGTAAAATTCAGGCTCCCTCCAGCACTGTTTTTCTGCCCACTTTCTAGTAGGAAGGTGCTGCTTCATTTAAACTGTTTGTCATCATCACTAGCGAGGTTTTTGTACTAGGACTTTCAAGTGCTGAATTTATGCTACTTAGATTAACATTTGGTGCACATGAACGCCGTGTGTCCTTGGAGGCTGGGGGAGCATGGCGAGCTTCTGCAGGCAGCTGCGGTGCTGTCGGGGCGGGGTGGTGGGAGGAAGCGGGGTTCGTGAGTGATTCGTGAGTGTGGATTGGCAGTCAGCAACCACCTGCAGATGCCGCTGGCAGTGTTGGCAGCGAAGGAGGGGGTGGCAAGCAGCAACTGCCCGCAGGCACCACTGGCAGTGTCAGCAGTGCCTTTTTTGCAGGGGGTGCACCGCCATGCTGAGGGGGTGCACATGCATCCGCGTGCACCCCCTATGTGTCGCCAAAGGTGCTGGAGCCTAACAATAGCTGGGCATGTCTACACGTCGCTGTGCTTTAGTACTTTCAAAAGGAAGTTGTTTTAGAAGTACTAAAGCATGGCACAATACTGGCTGTTACTGCACTGTGCGCACACACACAGGTAAATTTCCTGGCTACGTCACCATAGTGGCGCACTATACTGGGGGAGCACACCACTACGGCTACATAGCTGGCTATCATGTGTAGACCCATGTGATTGCCACTTCACCATAGTGTGCTGTATGGCAACGTGCTACGTCACCATAGGGCAATGTGTAGACTCGCTTATTGAGCCCCTGCTTCATTCATTAAAGGGAAGAGCAGTTGAGGGTGCCTCAGCATCTTTGCAGGATGGGGCCATAAGCATGTAGACGTCAGAAAATATCCACAAATAACAAACCAAGGAGCAATAGTCTCAAGTCGCAGCAAGGGAAGTTTAATTTAGATATTAGAAAAAACTTTCTCACTAGGAGAAGCAGTGGAACAGGTTACCCAGAGAGGTTGTGAAATCTCCATCCTTGGAGGTTTTTAAGACCTGGCTAGACAAAGCCTTGGCTGGGATGGGGATGGTCCTGCTTTGAGCAGGGGGTTGGACTAGATGCCCTCCTGCAGTCCCTTCCAACCCTCATTTTCTATGATTCTTTGAAATACTTAGCTTTGCCAGATGGAGCGGATGATAGAATGTCATTAGCACTACGGGGATCACAGAATTGTCTTTCTGCTTCCTATTTGTTACCAATAGGACAGGGGTGGGCAATTATTTTGTGTGGAGGGCTGCTTACTGAGTTTTGGCAAGCCATCGAGGGCCGCATGACAGG